GGGTTTTGGGGTTGCAGCAACTGGGTTTCCTCTTTGTGTGCATCAGTAGTGGTGGACTGTTAGTGGTGGTGGTTTTGGTGGTGGGTTTTGGGGTTGCAGCAGCTGGGTTTTCTCCGTGTGTGTATCGGTGGTAGTGGACTGTTATTGATGGTGGTTTTGGGTGGGTTGGGTGGTGGGTTTTGGGGCTGCAGCAGCTGGGTTATCTCTGTGTGTTTGTATCGGTGGTGGTGGTGGACTGGTATTGGTGGTGGTTTTGGGTGATGGTTTTAAGGGTTATTGCAGCTGGGTTTTCGGGGCTGATGATCGTGGGTTTTGGGTGGATTTGGTGGTGGGTTGGATGGTCAGTTTTCGGTGGTTGAGTGGTAGCTAAACAGGGTGATGGTGATGGGTATTCGGTGGTATTGATGGTGGCCCAATAGATGAGTTGGTGGTGGGTTTTGGAATGGTGGAGAAGATGGAGGCTGGGTGGGGTGGGTTTTCAATGAATTGGGTGGGAATGTATTTGGAATTAAAAAATTAATTAAAATAACAACAATAAATTATGGAAACACTATTATAATACCAAATATATTTTTATTTTTATTTTTATAATTTTTTAAATATAAATAACAACCAAACATGTTTTTTATTTTTAAGTTTTATCATAAAAAAAATAAAAATTTGTTTTATTTGTTTTAAAAAAAAACATAAAAATAAAAACGTTACTAAACGATACAAGTTCAAATTTAATTAACAAATCTTGTCAAATTAAATTAAACTAGACTTAAATTTCATAGTCTAAATAATACAAACCCAAATGCAATTAATCAAACTTGTTAAATTAAATTAAAATTGACTTAAATTCAATAGACCCAAATTAAATAAACTTTTAAAAGGTAAAATGGGTTGGACTTAAATTTCATAAATTAAACAAAGTCTACAAATTTATAGGTAACCCACTATCTAAAGCTCATATAAGAATAATAAGGTAAAAATATTATTATATGGATAACTATCACTCTTATATGAATAACTACTCCTAACACTATAAATAAAGGTGTAGGGGAGGGCCAAAGAGGAGGAAAAAAGGGAGAAGAAGTCAAGGAGGAAGGAAGATCGGCGAAACACTGCTCGAAGTTCGCTAAAGCCTTGCAAGTACATCTTCAGGAAGAAGAACACACAGTCAAGGTCCTTTTTCAAAAAATCCAAATCATTTTCAAGCCATTCAAAATGAAGAACGATAAGGAGATTCACCAAAAGCGTCATCAAATTGAAGAACGAGAGATACATTGATTTAGCTCTCGTATTTATTAAATCCACCAAAACCACCTCCAATTGAAGAACGAGAAATACGTCAATCAAACCCTCATCTTCACTAAAATTCATCATCTTCATTAAATTCACCAAGAATCAGAGAACAATGAATATAAGAAGCACGCCAAAAAAAAGTCAACATCACATCTTTTACTTAAAGTCAATCAAATTGATTATTATAATTTAACCTTATTTTTTATTAATTTACACACAAAATTTGTTGTTATAATAAGTTTTTTGTGACGGTTGTGTTCATCATTACAAAAAGCATGTTTTGAAGAAGAAAAAATAAATAAACTTGTGATAATAGTACTGTTATAAAAAATTTATTCGTTGTTGCAAATATTATTTTAGACCTATAATTGCTACCATAAAATTTTTTTAAGGCTCCGCTTACTATGGCAAGACAATGTCGGCACAATGCTGCCACAAAGAAATGTTTATGAAAATAAATAATTTTTTTATGACAACATTTTATCAAAAAAATAAAAATAAATTCTTGTAGTGTGGGGGGACTTAAAAACATTAAGAAAAAATAATAATGTAATATTGTACTCGCTCTGAGTGAGCTTCAAATTAGGGGGTGATGAACCATAATATCACGTGTCGATAGAGAAAACTAAAGAGATACTATAAATTGTATAAATTTTTCAATATTATGCAAAAAAAATTGAAAATTTATTTAATTGAGACAAATAAAAGTTCTAATTTTATTTCATAATTAAGTCCAGAAATAATGCATAAACACACGAAATAATAAACCTATTCAAGGCAAAAAAAAAATGGACCTTAAAAAATCATCGACTATGTCACTTTTTGCAGATAAAAAATAAAACCAATTTTTCTTCATAATTCCGTTAGTATAATTTTTGTGTTATTTCGTATCCTTTATTTTGTGGTGTTTATGTGAAAATATTTACTTGATGATTCAACCCTTATAGAATAATCTTAAAAAGATCACATTTTCAGTAAATATAATTATCTTTCGGTTCATTGATTATTTCTTAACATCCTCGTGCATCGTTAGACTTGCATTTAGTCCAATTTCCGGTCGGTTTCATTCAAATTGAAAAAAATAAAAATTTGTCCAATATCTAATCATGTTATTTATTTTCAATCCTTATATAGTGACATTTTAAATAAGGGAAATCATTTAGATCTCCTAATATTTGAATATTACACACAAAGCTCCTGAAGTTTGTACTCGTGTAATACTTAGACTTCTGCTGTCAATGTCTGTTAGAATATCCGTTAATAAATTATATTTAGACCCTTTAAAGTTTATGGGTGTGTAATATTACACCCTTCAAGTTTAAAATGTTATACTTAGATAAAAAATATTTCAATCAAAGATAAAATATCAAATATTTTAAATTTTTTATATCCAAAATTCATGTTTTATTATGTCATTTATTGAAATAAAATCAAAAATAAAAATTATTATTTTTCTTTAAAAAATTATAATTAGTATATAATTATACTATCTATTAAACTACTAAACTACCCCAATTAAAGATGAAAGATGTTGTGTCAATTACAATTTGACCCGATGTTTTTTTTTAGTTTTATTCCAATAGAGAGTAGAATTGTATATTAATTATGATTTTTTAAGAAAAAATTAAATTTTTAATTTTAATTTTATATCAATAAATAACATAATATAAAATAAATTTTGGTTGTAAAATTTAATTTATTTGATATTGTATATTTGATTGGAGTATTTTTTATCTAAGTATAACATTTTAAACTTGAAGGGTCTAAATATTACATTCATACAAACTTCAGGGATCTGAGTGTAATTTATTAACATATATTCTAATGGATATTGATGATAAGAATCTAAGTATTATGTGTGTACAAACCTTATGAAATTTGTGTGTAATATTTCAAATACCAATGAGTCTAAATGACTAAATAATAAACTTTAAGAAGTTTGAGTGTAATTCTCCCTTTAAATAACTAGTGCTTCTACCAGTGGCATAGTTAGTATGCCGCACATTGTACATTTAGAACCTCAGGGCATAGTCAGCAGAGATAGGGGTGAACTGTAAATTCAGACATCCTGAATTTTAAATTTGACAACTTATTTGAGGTCAGGTCATGAGAGATTTGTTTCTCATGAATTCTCTATTTCCGGTATGGATAACTTGTCTTTGACCAAACTAAAGAGAGAATAAATCGAAATGTATGCAAGTTGACCCAGACAATCCTGACCATAATACCAAAAAAGAAAAGTACATTGTACATTTAGCAAATACAGCTAGCAATTTGTGTCGAGCAGCAGCTCAATGAACTTCTAGGAGCAAGTCAAGGAAGAAATTTGTGGAATATAACAAGTATTCCTACTACAGATATCACATGATATAGATAAAATTTGAAAAATAAAAATGAAAATATGCACAGGATAAGTTTATAATAAAATATATTTTATTATTTTTATTATTATCTGATAACTTAATAATTATAATTTCTAGTAAATTTTGTAACAATAATACCAAAAATTTGTAAGTTTTATTTTAAATAAAGTATTGTTCATCTCATTATGGTAAATCCATATAACAAATGTGACTAATTAAAGAAATCATAAACAAGATTAAAGAAGTTGGTTTAATTAGAAATTATTGTTGCCAAGATATATGGTGTAAATATATTTCATGCTCTTTTGACATGTGATAATAGATAATACCTATAAAAACCACTCATGTACCTTCAAAGTTGAATGGATTTTTCTTTATATGGATTCAAGAGAAAATGGTAAAGATTAAAACAAAATTATACATAATACTTGCATATAAACCTTTATATCTAAAGTGTATGTGATGATGCACAAATTGGTATTATGCACCATGAATCAAGTGATTAGTAATATTAATACAATAATTAAATAAAGAGAGAGAGTAACTCAAGCAAGACAAAGATGTAGAGTAGTTCGGTCAACATGACTTACATCCATTATGAAGGACTAGGGTGGCCTGGGTATTTTATTACTTCAAGGAGTGTAGGGAAAGCAGGAAGATACAAGCAATGAGAGAGAGACGAGAGTGATAGCAGATGTTCTTGATGCCCCCCAAGTATTGGCGGAACTTACAATTTATAGTGTCTTTCAACATATTGAGGCGCCTTTTCAGTAACTAAGTGACTAATATAGTGGAGCTGACACTATCTTCTCAACGGATGAAGCAGTTATGAAGCTCTCTTTAAGATCAAGTCAAAGGATGATGTGGTGGTTGACTCTTTCCAAGGCAGCGTGAATGAGGCTCTTGGATGGTGCTCCCTACTCCTTACTGATGTAGCTCTTGGAATCCTGATGAGCCTGATTGGATGTGGACCTCCCTTGGGCTGGACCCATTGTATCTCTTCTGATTGGGCTCTTTATTCAAGCTGGACTTAAAACCTGAGTTGGGTCTTTGGGCCTGGCCTATCATTTGCCCTCCAATGCCCTATGTCCAATGAAAGTTGGAGAACAGAGCATTTGGTTGAACTCGGACTCCAGCTGACGGAGACTCCTTTAGACTAGCAACTTTTTTCCTTTTTGATGTATAAACTCTTTTTGCCTTTTGGACATCTTCAGTCATATAACCCCTTCATCTTATTTTCCATTTGGATTCTAGAAGAACCCTAGGTTATAAGTTGGGGCTTTTGCTTTTATTTCCATTTCATTCATCTTGAGAGGATTCTTTTTTGAGACTTTCAAGAGCCCAAGTAAGATGAATGGGGCTAGAGACCTTGTTCTTGAGATGAGTTCTCAGAGATCAATGTTGCCAGGAAAAGAAAAAATGCAAAGGTCCCTTGGTGAGGAAGTTAACAGTGATGGAGCAATTGGCACCAAGGGAGGCAGTGAGGCTGTCGCTGGCGTGATGTTGACCGCAGGAGAAGGCAGGGCTTGTGCTCTGTAGGGCATCAGCAAGGCAGGGGTCATTGTGGGCCATGGCAGCGTTGGCAAGGTTAAGTTCATCGTAAGCCAAGGCGGTGAACTGTGGAACTAGGGATGTCAGTGGACCGAAGGGGGGTGGAGGATATAGTCTCCATCCCCGTACCCGCTTAAATAATCTTTGTCTATCCCCGGTCCACCCTCGTTAACGAGTATAATTTTCATCCCCATCCCTATCCGCGGGTAAATTTCTAATCCCTATCCCCGTCCCCGCTTCCCCCGTACCCGCCCAAGCCCAAGTTCAAGCTCAAGTTCACTATCTGGAAGGCTCCAACTAACAAGTAGATTAAGTGGTGGAGAGCAGATGACATAAGGAACCATGTCCAACTCTTGAATATATGAGAAAATGCTGGGTAACTCAACAACATGAATTCTTGAAATCCACTTCACCAAAAAAATAGTTTTTAAATTCAGAATAGAATGCCACACACAGGAAGATCTGGGCCAAATTTTGATGTATTACAGAATGCTTGTGTAGCAGCGGAAAACAGAGCAGACAACATAGTTGAAGCTCATGTAGGTGACATTGAATCCATGGATTTAGTTCTTAATGGTTCCTAGTTTTAATGATACAACATTATTAGATCAATAAATTAAGTTAAACTTTTAGATCTAAACCTCATTACATTTTTAATGAGGTGGCTAAAGTTCCTCATACATTTCTAGCAAGCATTGTATAGGAGCATCCAAGCCAAACCTATTTTTCTAAGTAATATTATTTAGACTTAAAAACAATATTGGAAACATTGGGTTCTACGCATGATGAAGATATCAAAGAAGAAAAAAAATGAGAAGAAGAATAAAATAGAAATTGGGGGTTACGAATTTTCAATTCCGAAAGTACCTTAATGAAGAAGAGAAATATGAAAATAATTTGTAGGTCGAAAAGCAGCAATCCCTCTTAAGATGGGTGTGACTTACACTTGTCCAAATTGACGAATGGCTAAGAAAAGTAGATGTAGGTGTTCTTCTTGTTCTAAAATATTTAGAACTGTGTCCAAAAGCAACACGCCATTTCTTTTCTTTTGTTTGGAAGTTCTGGGAGAAGTAGCACAAGGTATGAAGGGAAAGAACCCTTTTTATGCCTCTGTAAGAAAACATAAAAAATAAAGTTTCATTTAGAATAAATACTAAAATACATCCTTTCACGTTAAAGATATTGATAGATAACAAACAAGCCACTCTTCTTTTGCCGTACTTTTTGGTAATTTGGGTTCCCATTTGATTTCAGCCATAACATAGTTGATAGATCTGATGATTTGATTTCCTTTTGGGTAAAGGCTTCAATTGCAATTTAATTTGGAGTAACTTACCCAAATGTGGTATATGAGGCATTGCAGGCCACTTGACTCAGTGATTATCACCTACCTAGCTTCCCCATAGGAATGGGGGAAGTTCGCAGAAGCAATGCCCATCGAGAACTCAAGCTCATCACCACTCGGTCCACTCCTCACAACCTCCACGATGTTAAGCCACAGAGAAGAGAGAGAGAGAGAGAGAGAGAGAGAGAGAGAGAGAGAGAGAGAGATGACTTACCTCATGACTTGTGGCGTTGAGTAGTCGACGCCTGGAGGGAGACGATGGAAACTGGGAGTATGGGAGTATGGAGGCGGGCGGCTGATAGAGATTATGGAGAGTAGGTTAGGGTTTTACTGGGAATAAATATATATATATATATATATATAACGGGTATACGGGGACGAGACGAGGGTAAGGGTAAGTCCATCCCCGCACGAGTTTATACGGGTATCCTCGTATATGTCCACCGTCCAATATGTATAGTTTATCTCTAGTCCAAACAGGACGGGTTTGGACGAATACCCATTTTTTTTTGGTCCATTACCATCGCTATGTGGAACTAGGAGGGCGACCACGAGGCACCTTGGGCGTTGTCTGACGAAATGATGGACGCCATGGAGAGGAATGCGATAGGGGCGTTGGGTAGAGGCGAGCCGGTGCTGATGAGGGGTGCCGCTGAGTGCTTAGCATAGTCAAATGAACACGCCTCGGGTGCTGTCGAAGGTGAGGCGCCTTGTGCGCTACCTGGCGTGGCGACCCAGGGCAATGATGTGTTGCAGTTTTGGGCTCATGGATGAGCTGAGCATGGAGAAGGCACTGAGAGGGAGGTCAAAGAAGCTCGGGGAGATGAGGATGTCATTGTAGGCGCCGATGGTGGTCGAGATGACGTGCTAGCGCTGCTAGGCGCACGCGCGCCAGGTCCTGGGTGCGCTCAAGCGGCGTTGTGTGCAGCTAGGTTGTCATCGTTGGGTGAGTTAGGTGTGGACACTGGGCATGGATCTTCTCAAGCAGAGAGTTCGCCGGGTATTTTTGGTGGTGATGGCTTCAGCAAAACAGCAAACAATGTGGTTTGTTTAGGTGGAACTACATAGAGTCAAATCCCTCAACGCTCTCCTGGTAGTGGTTCATACAATGTTTCACTTCACCCCTGCAATAGCAAGCATTGAGGAAGGGCAGCTCTTGACAATGACGGTTCTAAGGTAAATACCATCTCTAGTACTTTCAACACTGATGCGGATATTTTACAGATTGTCTCCCTTATAACATTCTCCCCACGGTACTGTGTCATCGAGCCAAGATGGGCGAGCCCACTTGTGATGACTCTTCTAGAGACATTGCTATCTACGAGGAAGTGCTTGAGGCCGGACTGAGGTTCCCAATGCCTTCTTTTGTTTGTTGCATTCTTCATTACTTTTTACTCACGCCAGGATGGTTGGCACCCAATGGTTGGAGAGTTTTGCTGGGGTTTTTGGCACTATGGAGAAGGGTGCATTATAAGGATGCTTCTCCTAAAGAGTTTTGTGCGGCTTATACTCTGAGTGAGACTCTTGCTCCCAATCGTGGCTGGTACTACTTTGCTCCGGGAAGTTGATTATTGGATTGCGCTCTAACTATCATAGCTGAAGGCTTGGATAGAGAGTGGTTTCAGAGGCTGATAGAGCTTTGGTACCAACAAGATGGGACACTCCCAAGAGAATTGGTATGCTTACTCTTACTTTTTTTCCTTCACCTTTTTTACAAATGTGTACTCATTACATCCCTTTCAGGTTCTCCAGTGCTCTCGAAAGATCAAGACTGGAAGTTATAGGCTGTGATGGTTCACCTCGTGAAGGACTTTGGAGCTCTCATGCTCAAAGAGGGTGGAGCTAAAGACTCTCCTACAGGCAGTGCTAGGGCTGGGGCACCTTCTCCGAGACCTGGCAGTTCATCTTTAAAGATAAAGGGTATGTTGATTCCCTTGTATTCTCTTTCTTTGCTTAGTCTTTCATAGGATTGATAGATTTAATCAATGACAATACATAACAAAGAAGAGAAAGAATGACGATATTATTAGACTAAAAAGCAAGTCTATAATGAACATCTTAAACCTAGAAATACACAAAGTAACCCTTATATAGTAGGGCAACACAACATAAAAAAATGCCTAAACTACCCTTATTATTAATACTCTAACACCCCATCTCAAACTCATGATGTGGCAAAAAATATCAAGAGTTTGCCAAGAAAAAATCGAAAACGTGCTATGGTATGAGACTCCATAAAAAAAATCCACTAGCTGCATTGTGGAAAGAAGAAAGGGGAGAGTGATGGTGCCCTGCTGCAAATGATGACGCACAAAGTGACAATCAATCTCAATGTACTTTGTGCACTCATTAAAGACCGAGTTATGAGCAAACTGAATAGCACTGGTGTTGTTGCAGAACATAGGAGTAGGAGAAGATATCGAAATACCAAGATTAGCAAGGAGCCATTGTAACCAGATAATCTCAACTATAGTAGATGCCATAGCACGATACTCAGCTTCAGCAAAAGAATGAGCAACAATAGTTTGTTTCTTGCTTTTTCAGGAAATAAGAGAATCCCAAAGAAAAAGACAGAAACCAGTGGTGGACTTGCGATCCATAGAGTCACCAGCCCAGTTAGCATCAGAGTAAGCTCTGAGTTCCATAGATGAAGAGTGAGAAAATAGTAAACTTTGATGTAGAGTACCACAGAGATACCGAAGAATGCGAAGAACAACAACCCAGTGAACAGTGGTGGGTAGGGCAACAAACTGACTCACAATGTGAATAGCATAAGAAATATTTGGACGAGTGACTGTAAGATATACTAAACTCCCAACAATAGTGAGATAGAGGGTTGGGTCAGACAAGGGAGTACCATCGGACGAAGAGTAGCGAACATTGAGCTCTAAAGGTGTTTCAACTGTCCGATTATCTGATAAGCGAGCTCGGTGAATAATGTCAAAGGCATACTTGGATTGAGAGAGAAGATAGCCTTTAGGAGAAAAAGCAATCTCAATGCCCAAGAAATACCTAAGCTGTTCCAAATCCTTTATCTCAAAATGATCCTGTAATTGAGATTTTAATAAGCATATACCAACAGTGTTATCACCCACAATAATCATATCATCAACATATATATCATATAGTAAAAGAATAATAGAGCCGGAGGAAGTAGACTGTAAAAAGAGAGCAGAATCATGGTCACTGGCGCGTAAATTCAAGTCATAGATAATCGAAGAAAATTTGACAAACCATGCCTTGAGAGCCTGTTTAAGACCATATAAAGCACGATGAAGGCGACATACTTGACCAGAACTATAAGACAATCCTGGGGGAGGTGTCATAAAAACCTCTTTAGTTAAATCTCCATGTAGAAATACATTTTTCACATCCATTTGAGACAAATGCCATTGTCGAATGGCAACAAATGCAATCACGGTGTGAACAGTAGTCATCTTGGCAACAGGAGCAAAAGTCTCATTATAGTCTAAACCATATTCCTAAGCAAACCCCTTGGCTACTGATCGAGCTTTATGTTGTTCCACAGAATCATCCGACTTGATTTTTATCTTATAAACCCAGTTACAACCAATTGGACGTTTACCAGGCGGTAAAGGCACTAGTTCCCAAGCTCTGGTCTTATGTAAGGCAGACAACTCCTCATCCATAGCTTGTTTCCAAAGTGGATCAAGTAAAGCCTCCTTGTTGGAGGCGGGTTCAGATAGAGAATGAATAGAAGTAAGGAAAGAACAAAAGTCAGAAGAATAACAAGTATTACTCTAACCAAACTTGTCTAGACATTTGCGAGAGAGGTATGATCCACAGTATCTGAACCTGATTGGGTGGCTGGAGAAGAAGAGGGAGGCACTGCATCTGGAGAGGAGATAACTGGAGTTCTGCGAACATATGTATGCACAATAGCGGGACGAGAGATAGTCGACTCAGAAGAGGAAGAATCTGACACAGGTAAATCACCAATATATGTGTCATGAGGAACATTAGTAGGAAAGGGATCAATGTATAGTAGGCCAGATTTATTCAATGAGAATGAACTAGATGAAATGGAAAAAAATGGAATATGCTCCATAAAAACAACATGACGAGAGACATAAAGTTTATGGGTGATGGGATCATAGCAACAATACCCTTTTTTACCCTCACCATATCCTAGAAATACACATAAAGCTGAACGGACAGAAAGTTTGGTACGAAGAACAATAGGGAACAAAACAAAGCAGGTATAACCAAACACACGTAAAGAAAAATAGTTAGGCGGTTTATCACATTACTTTTCAAATGAAGAGACTCTAGAGGTGCGAATGGTAGGAATGGTGTTGATCAAATGAACTACTGTCAAAATTGTTTCCTCCCAAAATGTGCTGGGAACATATGCTGATAATAGAAAGGAACGTGTTATCTCTACAATATGACGGTGTTTTCGTTCGGTAACACCATTCTGCTCAGGTGTGTCAATGCAAGAGGATTGATAAAGTGTACCATCAGATTTCAACAAATCATGAAAAGAAGTAAGAGTATATTCACCTCCCTGATCAAATCGAAAAAATTTAATGACTGTAGAATATTGAGTGCGTACTATGTTACGAAAAGTAGTAAAGATGGAAAAGAATTTAGACTAGCGTTTCATCAAGAATACCCAACAGTATCTCATATAATCATCAATAAATGAAACATAATATTTTGACCCTCCTTGTGTAGGAATAGGAGCCAATCCCCATACATCTGAGTGAACAAGATCAAATGGTGCAAGAGAACAAGTAACACTTGTATTGAACGACAATGCACTAAATTTAGCCAACTTGCATCCACTACAATCAGAAATCTCATGACTGCCTAAACTACCCTTATTGTTAGAGTATATAACCCACCCTTTCTACGCCCTGTCCCAAACAGCTTTTTGGACCGTGGATCCTGTACAACCTAACCAAAGGGAGAGAAATGAACCAAAAATTCAGAGTCAAATAGTTGACTAACTGAAAGTAAATTTAAAGTAAGTTAAGGAATATAATAGACATATAACAGTGTAAGGTTGGAAGAAATAATTGTCTCAACACCAGCTAATGACATTTGAGAACCATTAGCAGCAAGTACAGACAAAGATGGATGAGAAACTATAGATGCGAATAAAGAAAAGTCACTGGTCATATGATGTGTGGCACCTGAGTCAAAGATCCAGATGGTTCGAGATATATTTGAAGGACCTGAGCTGAACTAACCTATAGTGGGAGAAACTGTGAGAGAAACTGCTATAGTTGGTCTGCAAGCATAGTCAGGCTGGGAGCTGATGAGGCTGACTCATCCACTGGCGGTGCTACAACTGCTGTATGATGATCTGTGGACTTAAATGACTGATTTTGAGATCCTCGTGCATTCTTATTCATCAACTTTGGATATTGGGCCTTCCAGTGACCCTTTTCACGATAGAAACTACACTCATCAGAGGCAACTTGACCTCGATATTTGTTTTGGGAATTAGAGGTCACTTTGGAAGGAACAACCAACACAGTCTGATTTGGCAGTGGAAGAAGACCCTTTTTAGAAAGGGTTTTAAGATGAACCTCTTCGGCTAAGAGCTCATTAACAACTGATTCCATTGAGGGGAGTGGATGACGATGAAGAATGGAACCACGAAGTCCTTCGAAGTCATCTCTAAGGGCCATCAAGCATTGCACCAGCTTCTGTTCCTCTCTGAAGGTGCGATATGTCAGATTAGTGCTCAACTCAGTGAGTTCAGTAAGTGCTAGCTAATCCCAAAAGCCAATCATAACTCAATAAAATTCTTGTATATTTTTGTCCTCTTGACACGCATCTGGAATCTTATGCTCTAGCTGATACCTCTTTGCAAAATTAAACTGGACAAAAAAGTGTGGCCAAATAATCCCATATTTTCTTAGTTGTGCTAAACTTGGATAGATGAACCCCAATGGTCTGATCAACTGAATTATTAATCCAGGTGATAATTTTTGCATTGTTGATATCTCAAGTACTCTTCAAATCAGCAAACTTTTTAGCCTTAGTATTAGTTGGAGCCTGTGCAACACCACTAATATAATTCCACATATCTTTTC